TTAAGCTTGCCTTTATTAATTGGGATTAGAAAAAATATGATGAGTTCAGTTAGTCACAATAAAACAAAGTTTTTTTTCAAAGCTGCATAATTTTTAGTAAAATTTCCCAATTTTCCATTCTAGTCTTTTTGATGTGTCCCCTCTTTCAAAATAAATTCATCTAATGAACTTAAAATTTTTATTAACTCTTTTATTTTTGCTAGATTTCAGTCCATAAATTTTGCATTTTAGCCTGCATTTTATAGATAAATATTTATTGAGGTTTTGATTAAGTGTATTAAAATGACTATATTTAAATTAAATATCTTATTTTTCTCACTTTATAAAAAAGGTTTATAATGATTTATTTATTTAGTCCGTTTGTAGTTTCTGCAACATATTATTTGTAAATTAATATTTTTTTTAAATATTAAGTTCTTTACATTGCTGTAAAATAAGGCAATGTTAACAATCTTATTTTATAATATACAGTCTGTATAAAGATTTTTTTCTTAAAAAATCATTTAATTGCAATATTTCTTAGGTATTGCTAAAAAGGTCCCATAGGTGTAGTATACAACCAAAGTAAATTTTTATTATATCATTTTTATTTTTATGTAGGAACCAAATTGTGATAAAAGTTAAGTGTATCTATGATAGAGAAAGTTAGTCATGTAGAGTTCATTATTTTTAAATCTATTTATAACACTAATTATATTTATTTTTGATTAATATAATTATTAAAATTAATTATTTCAAGAAGTTTTTTATTGACTTTACTTTTAATGTTTGTTGTTTTGTTTTTTTTAATTATTTTATCATTAAAATTAATATTAATTAAGTTATTTTTTTATTTCTTATGTATGTGCAATTGTTACGGATACAGAGGCTAATGTATGACCATTTAAAAGCCTTAAAAAATGGTCTGTCTTAATGAAATTAAAAAAAAAAAAGAAATAACGTTTGTAGGAATAAATCATCCGGCCTGTATAATCCATCCAAAGTTCTTTAAGTAATATTTTATTCTTTCCTCTAATTATTTTAATTTTTTTACCAAATTGTTTGTATATGAAATTTTACTTTTTTGTTTGTCTTATTTTTGGTAAGTAAACATAAGTGCACTGTAATGTTTGTAGTCAGAAAGAAATAATCTTTGTATAATAAAGTTTATGGATGTTTGTATTGTTATTAGAGTGAGTAGAATTTAATGTAGATCTTTATTTCGGAGAAATATATTATTGTTAAGTTATTGTTGTTTCAATCATATTATTTCATTTAAAGAAAAAAAAAAAAACCTTGGTAAGATGTAACCCACTACTTACTATCACTTTCCACACTACTTTTAGCATTAATTGGTAGAAATTATTATTTTTTAAATTTAATAAACCTTAACAATATTACTTTAATTATAAATACAAACTTAAGACAATTGATGTTGCTATGATAACTATGTACATGATATATTTTTGGTTTAAGTTGAAAAAAAATAAAAAAATTGTTTTCTTTTAACAAATTTAATCGAAATCATTTCAGTTATTTTTGAGAAAATTGTAAAATAAATTATATAAAGTGACACTTTCCAAGATGTCGATTTAGGTGAAAGAGTTGCTGTAGTCCTAGGTATATACCTAATTTAAATGAATACTTTTTTAGGAAAACTAGAAAAGTGAAAAGAGTACAACATCTAGTATACGGATGCTTCAAAAGCTGCTAAGGAAGTTGGAAGCATGGTTTTAAATTTTGATAATCAAAACTACTATCAAACTCCTGGAGGGCTGCTTAGATTCTACTGGTGAAATGGTAGCGATAAGAGAAGCTCTTAAGTACATAGAGACAACTGAAACTACCAACAGTGCTGGATTTGATGAGTACACTACTTGAAAATATCAGGCCAAAAAATACAGTAGCAAAAGAAATAAGAAACTTTTGGTGGCAGCAATGAGAGAAGGGTAAAGAAGTAGTGTTCTTCAGAGATGGGCATATTTATATTCAAAAATATAAATACGAATATCAATTATATTTATGACACTTTTGAATATAAATATAAATATATTTATATTCATAAAAAAAAATATGAATACAGATGATACGTATTCAAAACCGTATATATAAATACAGCCGCATTCACCACTTTGAAAGTGAATACGGCTGTATTTACAGTTGTAAAAGTAAATACGCCCTAAATTTACAGAAGTGAATGGAAATATTTTTACACAATCTTATAAATGAATACGCTTATTTATTAAATAAATATTAATGTATTTGTTGCTTTAGGTATTTTCCAAAATAAGTAAAAAATATACAAAAATTAAAAAAGTTCTGGACAGTGAGGAGTTTATTAAATAAATATCTTAAAAAATTGGTACTTGCTAACTCAAAATTATGTATACATAAACATTTATATTTAATTCTATTAAACATAAAATTATAATTATGAATATGTTAAGATTATTTGAATTGATCTAATCAGAACAGATTTGAATATGTATACACATTCGTAAATGTTAAAAATAATAATAATAAATAAAATGAAATAATATGCTAATAAAGTATGGAGTATTTTCAAAACAAAATAAAAGTATCATAAATTGTCTTTTAATGGTTTTTGATCACTTTCTACAATTTTTAACACATTATGCATATTAACATATAGTCACACTTTTATCATTCACTTTTACTTTATTACTTAACTGAATGACAGGTCCGGAAAGATCACTATCCAAATTTGGTTGCCCTTTCACCTTTCCTAGCTTCCAGCTTGCCCGTATTCCACCCTGGAATTTCTAGAGTATCGTTCTGACTTTTGACTTGTACCTTTCCTGACCTTTTATTAAGCTTTTCTTTATTGCCACCAGGAACTCGTAAGTAAACAGTGCAAGGAAAGGACCATAGATGCAAATTTTCCATTCTAGTAGGAGAAGGAAGGAGCGATGGATACACAAAAAAAAAAAAGATTTCGGGAATTTATATTATTTACAAAAACTACGAATTATGAATAATAATTAACATAGCAAAATACTTTCTAACTAACATAAGTAAAATAACTAATAGTAAAACAAAGAATATAATACTATTGTATATACAAAAATAAAATGATATATATGGTAAACATCTTTTTTGTGTGTGTGTGTGTCTGTTTGTATTTTAAAATATGTTAACAAACAAACTGAATATACCAAATAGTTTTATTTGTAATTAAAGGTTTGAGTCAGTCAGATGCACTCATCCCTTTATATTTGCTGCCAGAAATGTATTAAAATCTACACTTAAAAATTAAAGAGTGTTCATGAATTTATCATAAAATCTTAGGATATCTTTGAATATTAACTAAACTTCCTATAATAGGAACATACGGTGTGGTAAAATACTCATATATGTACTTCTAGACATTTTTTTTTTTGAGAACTTGTTTATTGAGAAATATTATAATCTGTTTCAAAGGACATTAGTGGTTATCTAGTCGACTATTTCTATTTTCTTAATTGACTTTAGCTTACATAATTAGGACCCTCCTAAGATCTTAACATATTCATAATTATAATTTATGTCTAATAAAATTAAACGTTTATTTATACATCATTTCAAGTCAGAAAATACCAACATTTTAACATTATTCCAACATTTTTTAAGAGATTTATTTTATAAACCCCTTTCTGTCCAGAACTTTATTTTAATTTTTGCATAATTTTTTGGTTTTATTTTTGAAAATACCTAAAGTAGAAAATAAATTAATATTTATTTAATAAAAAAGAGCATATTCATTCATAAGGTTGTGTGAAAATATTCTCATTCACTCTGTAAATTTAAGTGTATTCATTTTAATAAATGTGAATACAGCCGTATTCACTTTTACAATTGTAAATACAGCCGTATTCACTTTGAAAGTGGTGAATACGGCCATATTTATATTTACAACTGTGAATACGTATCATCTGTATTCATATTTCTTTTTATGAATATAAATATATTCATATATATATTGAAAATTGCCATAAATATAAATGGTATTCGTATTTATATTTTTGAATATAAGTATGCCCATCTCTGTTCATCTGTTCGTCATGTCCCTTTGCATTTGCGGGATGAATAATCCGATCAAGCAGACAATATGGTAAGTAAGACAGGTATAACTCGGATGGAATCAATCAGTCAAATTCCTTTAGAGGACATCTTTAAAAAAAAAATTAAGAAAGATATTTGGAAAATGTGGAAAAATAAGTAGGAAGAAAAAGAGTTAAAATTAAGGGAAATAAAAACCCACTGTTCAAAATGGGAAACCTCTTATCGAATACTATGGTAAGAAGATATGGAATACTCTGCAGACTAAGAATTGAACATTGTGAGTTCTCGCACGCCTACCTACTAAGAGGTCTCGATCCTCTGACCTGCGAGAACTGCAATGTCTAAAGGACAGTAAACACATTATACAAGCCTGTCTTATATTTTTGATACTGTTGAGAAAAAGTTGGACTTGCCACAAAGTATTAAAGAAATCTTCAATGACAGGGAAATAGCTCTTAAAAAAACATTTGAATTTTTAAAAAGAATAAATTAATATAACTGAGTGTAAATATAAGGTGTTGCCAATGACCCTACAGGGTGGAGGTAACAAAAAAATTGAATACAAAATTTCAGTACTATACAACTTTTCATTTTTGAGCTTAGCTATTGATATTCGTGCTGACCTTTTTGCATAATTGGTTTGCTAGTTGGCAATCGCTGAGGGCTCCAAAATTCATTGCCTTATATTTTACTAGTGCAATGTTATGTTTAGCCCTAAAAAAACTTGGTTTGTGTTTGTTTTCACTGTAGAATGATTGTACTGATGTACTATAATCAATGCCTGCTCTAGAGTTTTGTTTGTATAGGCAGAAACAACACCAATTTCGATGGGGGAATAACAGACTGATTAATCAATACATTTTTGGTATAGGTATTATAAAGCAATTTTACAAAACAATCAAAGCTATTACCAAGCAATTTTAACAAGTAATTGTGTTTACAAGAATATTCATAGCAAACAAACCATATGATAATTATTTAAAAATATATTTTAAATTAGTATGTATTGAGTATGTGCCATAGTGAATACACATGCCATTAAATCATTATTCCTTTTTATATTTATTTAGTTAGAGAATATCAACACAGGAATGTCAGCGATCAATCCCGAAAATGTTACATTTTTGGTGAAACAATTTGACGAAAGATTACCCCCTCAGAAACCATCACAAGGTAAAAAGCATTAAATACAATCAAATTCAATTTTTGTTATTAAAAGTGTAACATAATTAGATAATAATAACACTAATAATATGAGACTAGATAATAAACAAGAGTTGTCATAGCAACTCACATTTGATTTGATTGTTTTGAAACAAATTCTTTCATCTCACAAAAATATAATAATAATAACATCAAAATAAGATTTTGTGTAAAATCTTAAGGCCATGCAAAAATAAATATAATAAAAACATTAAAAAAATTAATATAAAATGGATTTGTTTTTCAAAGTTCATAATACTCATTAAATGGTGTCTTATTTTCTTTATCCAGTGGTCATGTCTCTATTAATTATAGAGTCTACTAAGAGTAGTTTACAGTGCCAGTTTATCCATACAGGCAAAGTAGGCAACACCTTATGGGCTCTATGGCTGGATTATGTTGGCACAATAACTTGATGTCATGTGGTGGCATGGTTCAAGCATCAGCCTCCACCAATCCTTCCTATCTTATGCTGGTACCATCCAGTTTCGCTTCCAGAAGGGACCTGATATGACCAGCCACATCATCATTCCATCAAAGTCAAGGTTTCCCTATTGGCCTTGTTCAATAAAATAGCTGTTTCATTGTTTTCCATGGCAGATTATTCTCAGCCATCCGACCAACCAGGCGCCCATCTTTTTCATTAACAATTGTCACACTAGCCTATATGATTAACATTCCAATCCATAACATTTCTTTGGAGATAGGAAGGGTCTAAAAAGATAAACTTGAGGATTTTTCAAAAATATAAACCTTCAATGGTAGTTCCTCGCTTGGTCTGGTAATTACTAAAGTAAACATGTATTTAATGTTTGCCTTGTTCACTTCAGGTCTCATTTTTCTCACTGCTTCATACAATTTTAAAAATTTATATGAAACAACCTGAAAGGAGCGTACAGCAATGTCGATGTTATCAGCATACGAAAGAAGTTATTCTGTCTTATTGAATGGTTTTTCCACCCGTTTGAATTCCGGAATTTCAAATGGCCTTTTCGAGAGCTAAATCAAAGTGGTAGGCCAAGGCATTTTCCTGCAGCGATACTTCGCCCGAATGAATTCCTAAAATGCTTTATTAAGGCTTTAGCATTATATTTAAAGAGTAAGCAATCAACAAAATTAGCTTATAAGGTGCCCATTTGCAGTATAGCAACAAGTATCAGTACTAATCAATGCCAGGTCTAGTCCGGATATTGAAATGGTACTGATAATCGATGAAATTATACTTAGATTGAAATTGGAATTAGCAACAAATAATACCACTGAATATAAAAAATATATTTTAATTTAAATGACGAAAACATTCAGTAAAGTTATAGTAATTATTTATCCGAAAAGTTTGATGTTCGTTCAAATTTAAAACAGGGTGAATCCTTTTCATCTGTCTCCTTTAAGTTAGCATTAGAGCATGCCATAAGGGACATAATTCTTTCTCAAAAAAAGGTTTGAGTCTGAATGAAAAAATATCCATTATTGATTATACTGATAATTTGGTTTCGTTAAACGATGATACGAAAACTATATGACAACGTTAATTAGACCTGGTTAAGAACTGGGTCTAGAAATAAATATGGAAAAGACAAAACTATGGTTAGCTGCAAAACCGATGACAATATCGGCGATATCGAAATAGAAGGGAATATGTGTGAACACGTTTAGGAAATTTATGGTCTGCGATATCAATAAATTACAAAACTGAAGAAGAAATTAAGGTCAAGTTTAAGATGGGAAATGATTGTTATTTTCTGTGACAATACTGCATAGGTCGCGCATCCTGTTCCAAAACTTAAAAAATAAAATTTACAATACCACTATTCTACCCAAGGTTCTTTATGGATGAACAAGGTTTAAGGCTTTTTAACAAAAAGTATTGCGTAGAATATTCGAAACAAAGAAGAATGAGTCAACCGGAGAATTCAGACGGTTACAGAACACCAAATTGCGTGAACTGTATCATTGGGGTGAATAAAATGGGCGTATAAATTTGTTGGACTTAGTAACGAAAGCATCCTTAAAAGGTTAATATGAGCTGTGCTGACTGCTAAGCGTCCGAGGGATAGACCGGAACGAAGGTTGGAAGATTGCGTTAAGGCTGATATGATGGAGATGGATTAGGACGGGGATCTGTGTAGACAGCGATTTTCATGTCGGCATAGAACTTTCAGTTTTGCTAAGCCTTTATTATTATAATAATAATTTAAATGTTTAACAATCATCAGCATTATATTGAACAAACCTAACATTAATGTACTTTACACATGAAAATTGTAGATAAAAAAAGAAAAATTTAAACCATTAGTATTATATTTAATGTAAATAACTAACCATTTTCAGTTGTTTTAACTGCCCCACCCTCACCTTATAAACTGCGTACTTGCTATATTTTTGTCTAGCAATACCTTTTTGCTTTTGTGCATATTTGTTGCCATTACTGCCTCAAGTGCTAAAACGGCCTAAATATGTCAACCACTTTGCAATAAGCAAATATTGTTGGTATGTCCAGTCCCTGTTCATTACTAGAACAATTCCAGTTCGGGGTATCCATCATTAGTAAAAAAAGGTGAATTTTTTAAATGGAGATTATATCTGCGTAAATGAATATTTTTTTCAATTTTAAAGTGGTAAATAGAAAAAAGAGACCAAATAGATTTTAAATACTCAACGGAGAAGTTTATAACTATAATAATTACGGCGGCATGAGCTAAAAAAGACAAAAACGTCTTTAGCTATGTCTATCACTGGTGCGCTTACCCTAATAAAATAATTTTGTCCAATCATGGAGGATGTGGCATGGTATTGTTCAACATTCATTCTTTTATGTTAAGTAATTATTGATATCCATAAAATATATTTTTCCACTATTCTATAATCTGCCATAGATTTTATTTAACAGATTTCAACAGTCCTTACAACGATAAAGTTCTTTGCGGTAATTGGCAAGAAAATCTGAGTAAATATGAACGGCACATTTATCCAATGGCGAGCGAATACATGAAGGAATATTATCACCCTACTGTCGACGTAGTATCAAGAAACCACTACTACGACAACAAACTGAAAGGCTGGGTACGATTGTAACTAATATGAATGGCATGCTACTAATGTACAACATCTAATATTACCTCTTACCACAGGGCACGGACTGGCACACTGTCAATGACCAAGGACTGCCAGAGGAGTTCCGTAACAACTTCTCGACCCTCTACGACTTGGCCTACAATGGCTCCTGTCCCAAAGTCGTCAACAAACCCTGGAGAAGATTTCACAGCGCGTTTGTAGAATACAGGCCGCAACAGGACATGATGAATAATTTCGTACATAATTTAATTTTTAAAATTACTTTATATGTTAAATATTTCAGTATTCATCATTCGATGAGAGACATGCTAGTAACCACCATTACCGTAGTACTAATGCTTTTGAATATCAAAGATAACAGAAAAAAGTCTTTAATCTTATACAGGATCTTTCATTCAAAAAGCCATGTCAACCTGTGATGAGGTTGTAGAAATGGGTGAATCTAGATAGCGACTGTGCAAGGGGATTTGAATGCCATGTAATTTCTGATAAAATTTGGAGAATTTTTCTGCGATAAAATCTGAGAAATGGAACATTGGGGTTACAGTGTGAAGTTTTGTTGGCTAAATAGAATGATGCATTTCTTACTGTTCAAAAGACTTTGGACTGCAATGATTGGATGTATTTGATACTAGCAAATTTAGCGGTCCCCCACAGTTCTAGACAACAGTTTCAGCGTAGGTACAGGGGAGTTTCAGGATTATCTTAGGCATTATTAATTTCTTGAAAACTTTTTTTTTTTTATTTTATTGATGATATTTACAACTGTATTACAAGTAAAAATACATTCAGTAAATGTGAACAAAAGAATATAATAGCATGAAATCACTTGTTGAGAAACTGCCCACTGGTAGCACTCTAAAAATGTATTTACAAAAGGAGATCTCGAGGCCATCTTCTTTTCAGACGCCTCGGAGGGTTGTCAGGGATCGAAAAGGAAGCAAGGTTAGAAACGAGAGGGTAAGGATGGTTCTGAAATTTGTTATGGAAGGACAGGTATCTGGATTGGGCCAGGTCAGAAACATAAGGAACATTAAGGTCGTTATGGATGATTTTGTTTGTGACAAAGTAAGGAGCTGTGAGGATTTTACGAAGGATTTTGAATTGTAAGGATTGGATACGAGAGGAATTCGATGGCTTAGTGGAACCCCAGAGTTCAATTCCGTAAGCCCAAATAGGTCTTATTGTAGTCATTTATATGAGTCTTTTTTAATTGACTGGGAGCTTAGAGCGTTTGTCTAGTAAGTGCTGGAGTAGTCAGAAACGTCGAGCAGTTTCTTGTTGTTTCAGTCTGGTATGCGGATTCCAAGTTAGACGTTTGTCTAAATGGAGTCCAAGGTATCGAATTTGTTCAACAGGGATAAGTGGGGTATTATTAAAGGATACTGTAGGACAAGAGGACATAGGTTTACGACGAAGGGTAAAGGTGATTTTATGGGATTTATTGGAATTTATTTTGATCCTCCAGTTTTGAAACCATTCAGCAAGAAGCAAGCAAGGTTTGTGATGTGTGATTGAAGGGTTTGGGATGCAATTGTTGGGTCGCTATTAACTGATAGGACACATGTATCATCGGCATACGTGGTAATGACAGTGTTAGGATGGGTTGGGATATCAGCTGTATAAACTGTGTAAAGGATAGGACCTAGGATACTACCTTGAGGAACACCAGCGGACTGGGACTTGTAAATTTAAAATTGAGATTTTCTACTAACTAGATACCAGACTTTGTCTGATATTAGATGTGGTAAGGAGTTAAAATGAATTGGTGGATACGATCTCCGTTGAATGGCGAAGGTATGTTTGAATTTAGATTATAGAATTCTAGAATCTAAATGCAAACATCCTTTACCCTTTGACGGAAATTGTGTCCGATAGTTCATTTGGACTTCATACCGCTTCCCTTCTCAGACACAGTCCGGTATCATTGAAGATGAAGCAATTAGTCCATCAATATAGAAGTATCTATGGAGTACTCGGAAGATGGAAGGAAGCTGTATAGGCTCTCCTATACTTTGATTCATAGCTCATAACTATGGGGATTCTTAACAGTACAACGTTACCTTTGTTAATTCAGGGAAACACAGTCAATTACGGATTAACAAAATACAAAGAAGATCAATGGGAAGAGGAAAAACTAAAAGATATAGACGACGTTAAGACAACGTATCAAGTAACTTACGTCCCAAAAGAGATTCGTCCGAATTCGAAAAAAAGAAGCTTTCATAGGTGAGTATTTTCGGTTATTGTATATTTTGAGTAGATAATAGGAATAATATTAAATAACTATCTAAAAAAAATATTTCACGCCAAGGAAAGGATTGAATACATTCAAAAATATTTTATGCTGAGATTAATTTGTTTTCCTTTAAGAGTCCAAGCTGCCACAATCAAATCTAAATAAAACTTGGGCTATTCTTATTGGTCCCAATTCCCATTGTTGCCTTTCCTAATTTAGTCCAAAATGGCCATTCTAGAACCTTCAGCTCTTTGGTTTTCCTATTAACCAAAACTAATCATAGAAACCCCACATCGCCCATATCTCCTGCAGGACATTAGACACATTTAACTTACTATTTAATCGTTTCCCATCATTTTTTCAACAACCTACATGCAAATGACTCTTCACCTCCATCCTTAGGCAATACTTCCTCAGATTCTTCCTATACCAAACTATCCACTCCCAGCATCCTTCCTACATCTTAAGTCTACAATATTTCAAACCATTGAGCCACTCACAGAAAACAAGATCCTATGTTACTGATCTCTATATCCCTTACCACAGAACTAAAACCTTTCAACGTTCCTTTCTTACTCGTTCTACCGCCTTCCGTAATTCTCTATTACCTAGAAAAATAATACAATATTTTTGAGGCGGAAACATTTTTACGTGGTTATTAATGTTTGAGTGGGCTCTTGTATTTGCGAAGTCATGAATTTTTGAGGGTATTATATTTTTGTAGGATTTCTGTTGGGTAGAATTTTCAAACTAAGAAAGAAAGGAAAATTTAAACTACAATTTTTATAATGTTGTTATCATTTACGCCATTTTCAAGAAAAGGAGAGGAATACGTTTACTTAGAAGGGGTGATGCACCCCAATGTAAAAACTTAATAATATCTATTTTTTAAATTTACTCTTATTATATTCAAAGAAATTATCTACCTACGAGTATATTCATCTTTCAGGAGGATCATTGATAAGAAAACAATAGGGAAAAAATCTGCCTGTTTAGACGATCCTCCAGTAATCGCCACAAGAAGGATGAGAAGACCTAATCAAATATTACCGTCTCTTTAACGGCATGATTATCTTTAATGCCCTTGTGGCCTTTTGAATATACGAGATACTGAATCATGAAAATTTATTTAAAAAATAAAATAGGCAAACTTATAAATTAAATATTGTATCGAAACGTATATATCTTGATATTCGTTTTATTTATGTATGTTTTTTATGGTATTCATTTTGATATGATGTTTTTTTATACATCTATCATATTGGTCCATATTTATTCTGGAAGTAGACAAATATAATTAAAAAAACGGAAAAAATTCGTCATAATCCAACAAAAGGAAGGGAATTTAACTGTATTTCCATTTAATCACGTTACTAGTCAGTTAGTGAAGTAGATATCTTGGTTGAACACCTGTAACTATTATTTGAGCGAAAGGCTGGACCAATTTTTAATTTTCAAGGAAAGAGCTTACGCAGATTTCACATTAGGACTGAATCTCAGGTAGGTAAGTGATTTCAAACTCTACAATATTATACTTACTTTATAGCTATTACTATTTATAAATATTTTTATGCAAAACGTAATATTGTATAGAAATATGCCAACGATTTAAATAAAAAATTTGATTTTTCCTTCCTCGCCTTGTAGTCTATACGGAGTTTTCTCGGGTCAGGAGGTGAACGGTCTAACGTGTGTGCTCAGCACCGAGAGTTGCCCGGCAGAATACCGGTCAAGTCGATGCCAGAATATCGAAGTTATTGAAAGATTAAAAAGTAAAGAGGTCGCGTCCCGGTGCCGGAGGGGATTTTAAATTCTCCGCCCTCACACTCCGGCTCCGGAAAACCCCGTATAGCCTAAAAGGCGAGGTAGGGAAGAAAAAAAAAGGCATATTAAGTAAGTTTTTCAATTTAATTATTTTTTATAATCATCTCAATTGATCATAAACAAACGTATTACTACCTTGGTTTGATTAGGTTGTAACTATACAAGCCTTAATATAAAAAACGTTTGATTTGCTACAACTTTTTTTCTCAAAAAACAACATTTTATTGAAGTTTTTGACGTTATGATTTTTACTTTCAGCTAATTTCTTTGTATTTTATACATTTTATTAATAAGTTATCACAATTTAATATAAGTTTCAGATTGTGACCTTTACAAATAATCAATACGTGTAATTAACACAGAAACGTTTTAAGTTAATTAAAAGATGATATTGAACATAATTATGAATAATTGTTTATTGTAGCAGTAGCGGTCAGTGGAAATTGAGAAAATATATTCCAAATGCAAATTATTTATTAGAAACCTTTTAAAATTTTCAGACATTATGAAAACAGTCAGCTGAAAATGCTAATATAAAATTATAAAAGTTTTGTAATAATAATCAATAATAATATTTATCAATGGATGTGTTTAGCCATTTTCCATATCAAGTCCTGATAAAGGCGCAGGTGATAGATCCGTCTCAGTCCCTCAAATGTCGCAACAGCGAATCTCAGCCAGGTAACAGGTCCAATTAGCCAAAACTATTTTATAACATATGAATGTTTGTGTATATATATATATATATATATATATATATATATATATATATATGTATATATATATATATACAAACTTCACTATTTTATTGGGAATAAGGTCACTTAATTATTATTTAATAAACTAATTAATGTTCATTTCTTCTGTTTATTGACGTTTCGATCCCGGTATTTTCTTTTTATTAGTCAACCATGGGATCCTCTTCAAAGCTAGAATTTAAAAAAATATAGAGCTTCGATCAGGCCAGGGACACACCGACAGCCTCAGCACCGTCCACTAGCACATATATTAAGCTACTCTTAATAGAGTAGCTTAATATATGTGCTAGTGGACGGTGCTGAGGCTGTCGGTGTGTCCCTGGCCTGATCGAAGCTCTATATTTTTTTAAATTCTAGCTTTGAAGAGGATCCCATGGTTGACTAATAAAAAGAAAATACCGGGATCGAAACGTCAATAAACAGAAGAAATGAACATTAATTAGTTTATTAAATAATAATTAAGTGACCTTATTCCCAATAAAATAGTGAAGTTTGAATTTAATACTCAAAGGTCGATGAAGGAAAAGTTGTAAATATATATATATATATATATATATTATATATATATATATATATGTGTTATTTTAATTTAATTATTACCATTCAATAATTATTTTACTAGTACACATTGAGTCACGTTAGCATATAGTTAAATATTTAAAAAGGTGACTGTAGACCTTAAATGCTATTAAATAAATCATATAAACCATAATCCACAAAATATAAACAGAAAAGTAGAAAATATAAGTTTTGTAATTTTTTTTTTTTTAAGCAAGTTATGTTTAATAGGAAGCGACAGCTAAAAAAATATTTAATTTGTTCAACTAACAACTATACCACATATTGCAGTACATTTCCATCAAATGTAAGTTGAATTTTTCTATGTTAAAACTGTTCAATGAGGACTTTTAAGCGGCTTAACTACGTTCTTCTATTTAACAAAATCACGTATTCTGAAATGGAATGAATAATTGATTTGTTGAATATCCCAAGTTAAAACCTCGTCGAGAATCCTAATATAATATAATACTATAATATATAATATTGTATAAATTGATGCCATGGAGGATTTGGATTTGCTTGGTCCTGGTCCTTCAAATCGGAGAACATTTAATTCACAATTTCTTTTACACTTACATTAAATTCATTTGCACCTTTTGTATACATTTGGTGTAAATGTTTGTTAAATAAATTTTGTATTTCAATTTCAGTCGTCTGGTTGTGAACAGTGCACTACACCTGTCTCACCAAATCCAAAATGTTAAATTGAATAAATGTTTATTTCACTGACGAAACAAACAAAATATTAAATTAACATTAACATATATCCATATTAGTACCATCCAAATCAACAACATCTATCGGTCGATGCCATAAATAATAAATATACAAGATTTACAAAGTTAATTTTTTTTTTCACAATTTCAAATAGTTGGTGATATGAATACAATAAGATAAGTATGATAAGAAAATATGAGAATAAGATATAAACTAGTAAGTCCGTGCGAAGAATTCCCACAGCATACAGTTAAGTGATCAAATGCCAAATTAATAAGAAAAGAAAATAATCCAATGTATCAAGACAAAGAAATCAATTGTTACTTTATCGATAAATATAATCGAGAAAGGAAACAAAAATTAAATTAAAACTTCATTAATGTTTAGAATCCCACATGCTTACAAATTTCAATAAGCTGTCTGTATCTTTGCTAAAAATTGTCCGATTTCGATGATTTTTTTTTTTACTTTTCTAAGGAATTTAGTAATGTTTTATATAATAATGGACATAACCAAGGAAAAAGTGTGTAATTTTTTAGTCATTCACAAATAAAGTTTCTTTTCTTTCATAACTTTTTGCACGAATTTTCGGGTTGATAGGACTATTTTGCCCTCCTGAAGAAAAAGGAAGTCTTCAAAATTGATGGCTCAATCTTGAGATTTGATGAAGAATTATCGATGATGTCGCTTGCCGACAAAAAACCCCTTCGATAAATAATATAAACTCTTCCTCTCTGGATCATAGAGGCCTTAAGTCGACAAAATGAGACATGTATTCAATGACAGTACTACCATTAACGTAAGGGTGGATGCGAATCCTTTGCCTTGCATTATCTAGAAAATATTACGTTTTGGGACTTAAAAACGCAGTCCCGGGTCTCGCTGTATGCATCAAAATTTTCAAAGCCCGATTTGTCCCGTGTCGATCTACAGACTTACCACCGTTCCAGTATTCAAGTCTAGCAAATTTGTTTCGACTTTATTTATTTCAGGAAGAAAAACAAAAGTGGATAGTAAGATTCGCTAACCCCCCAGTGAAAGTTTGAATCCAACGGTACCCCATTCATGGTATTTGAGCATGACAGGAGCTTATATTTGGTACAAAACCGATTTCGACCTTTACTGCAATAATATATGTGGGTATAACATAGTAAATATTATAAAAACAATAGTATGAGATCAAAATATAATTAATAATATATATATATATATATATATATATAGATATTAATATATAGGGATAATAATATGTAAGATAATAAATAGAATAAATAACATAATAGGAGTGTATGGCCAACAATAAGATAGAAAAAACAGAACTAAATACACCATGTGTGACAAGCATAGGATTATATAACATAATACAATCATTAATTATTGCTAGGTATAAACTACCTTTATTAATTTAGGTATGAACTTGCTCAAGATGCTTTATTTTATTTTCGATTAATCCTTCTTAAATTTATAGGTATTTGTTATTTACGTATACTTATCATTATTGTAGTAATTTTATTTTTATTGAATACTCGATGGTTGACCGTTGTATAATAATGAAGAAGGAGATGATCCGGAGTGGTGGTCATAAATAACTTAAAATACTGAAGGCTTAAAAAAAAATAGTGTTTCACTATTTTAAGTTTTTTTATGATCGCTATCCCTGACCATCTCCATCCTCAATATTATAAAACGGTCGACCATCGAGTATTCAATTAAAATAAAATTACTATAATAACGATTTATATATATGTATATATATATTTGTTTACTTTTTATATAAGTTATCAATGGAAACATATAACACCGATGCTTATTGTCCTTGAGTATGGCAGAGTGTCTTTATTATTTTTATAAAGACTATTATCACAATTAATCCAGAAAAGTGAATCTATATAAATTTTTTTCTAATCTTTTGAAAAAAAATTAGTCAAAGATACATTTTTTACTTCCACTTACCTATATATGAAATATATAATATGGGAAAGTATTGCGTTCGTGAAAATTTTCGAATCTGAATTTTCAACGGAAAAACATGTTTTGAGTCCAAATAACCTAATCCCGCAAAATGATGTGTGTGTGTATGTCTGTCTGTGTGTGTGTATGTGCATGTGAGTGTGTATGTGTCTGTGTGTATGTATTTGACAGATCGAGGTCAAAAAACAAAAGTCGTATGGAAGTGAAATTGCATATTTAAGGTTTGTATATACCTGAGATATTACAGTAACTTTTTCGTAAAATCGGCTTACTGGAAGTGGCCCTTTATATCATCGATGAAACACATCTTTACTATTTTCGAAAACGGCTCCAACGATTTTGATTAAATTCATAATATCAGTGTAAAATTATGCAGTTTTTAATATTATGTAGATTTTATTCTCGTTGATATTCTATAACGGGGTTTAAGTGGCTGATTTTCAATATTAAGTACCATATATACCTTTAATTTTGTTATTTGAAACAATTGACCATTTCAAATTGATCTCTATTATAAAAAATAGTTAAATATAAAATATGAAAGAATTTGATAATTAACTAAAGATGAAATAATAGATCGTAGCAGAGAATAGTTGTAATGAAGGAACAAAAGGATGTGAGCACGGCCGAGCTCACCCGAGCTGGCCCGAAGATTAGAACAGGCTTTCATATGTAACATGAGCTTAATATAATACGGACTCCGACAATATTATGTACATGTACATATGCGGTTTCCTTAAATGTTTTCGTTGGTATTACTTAATATTTAACTGTATAGATTACAGCAATATAAATACTAAACTTTATATATACAGGGTGTTTAAGGGTTAAGTAACCAAACAGCAGAAAGAACTAAGGACCTCAAAACAAGAAAAATGTTTGCTCTGAAGGTATGTACGCAAACGCTTTGTTTAGGAGATAATCACACCTAAAGATTTTCGTTGTTATGAATTATTTACATTATATGAAATAAATAAAACCTGGAATATTCCACTACAACTGAGAAGGGACATACGGCTTCATTTAGATGATTGTCGTGCAAATTGCGAAAGAGGTCCAAGACAGTGGCTAAATGTTAATTATCACAATCAATGGATTGGCTGTGCCGGACCAGTGGCTTGGCCTGCACGCTCTGCAGACCTGACACCACTGGATTTTTTTCGTTTGGGAGGACATTAAACAAAAAGTCTATGCAAGTCCGGTAAATGACCTTAATTTGTTACGAAGAAGGATAATGGAATCTTGTGAAATAATAAGACATATCCAGTGCCGTTCTGCCACTGCTGCTGTTGAAGAACGTAAATATCGTAAATAATTCATAACAATGAAAATCTGTAGGTGTGAATATCTCCTAAACGAAGCGTTTGCGTACATACCTTCAGAGGAAATTTTTTTTTTCTGTTTTGAGGTCCTTAGATCATTATTGCAGTTTGGCCACTTAACCCTGAAACATCCTGTATAAGGGTACTGACACAAATAAAAATATCCACAATGAAATATAAATCAATATAGCATTTATAATTTTTCTTTCACTTTCTCTTTGTCTGAAAATACTTATTTCTGCTAAGAGGGTGATAAGTGAAAATTGTGCGATGCGCGCACCGCGCCGTATTTTTTTTTAATTCGAAACAATTAAATCAAAATTATCAGCCATACTTTTTAGTTATAGCATAACATATTCGATATTGAATGGGGCGTTTCTGTTCTTTCCTAGCGAGTGAGCTAATTCATGTTCCTATCAAACCCAATTTGGCAAGTTTTATCGAATGTTCAATCGGTATCTTTACTATTGCGTTGTCCATATCTAAAGTCTGATAAGGCGCAGATGTTAGGCATAGGTTAACGCCACCAGGGAAATAAATCATTGCAAAAACTTATAACTAAAACAGTAAATTTATCATTTGTCTATGAATTTATTTATTATTACCTCACACCGGGTAATGTTTATCGAAATAGTTAGTCGCTAAACATCATATTCTTAATTTGAACTTAATTCTTGAACACTATTTGATAGTTTATTTAATTATAAAAATAGTAAACGATGAATGCCTGGTTTTATTATATAAAAAATTAAGTAATTTTGAAATTTTTTATCTTTATAATACTAAAAACAATTATTTTTTTTTTTTTTTTTTTTTTTTTTAGGGTTGTGATGGATTTTCATGTATTTAATTTCAACAGAACATCAGTGATTTTATAAAACATTAAATTTTAAATTTTTTCCGATCTCCTTCCAAACTTATAAACGTTTTAAAAACCGAAATATGTTTCTTATAAATTGTAGATAAAATAAAAAACTGTACCATTACAATCCATAGAGACTCTCGTATTCAGTATATTTTAAGAATGTACTGTTTCTTAGTGATCGCACAATGGGGCAGATGAATTATATTTATAGCATAAATTAATTTAAGGAATTTCAACTAAAATGGTCGATAACATAATATAATACATTTTTTATGTCAGTTATAGGCACTGGCGGATCAAGAAATCGATTTTAGTGAGGTAAGTAAATTACAAAATTAAATTAAATCATAAAACTCATAAAAACACTGTATTATATTACTAATAATAAGGCCAATAAAGACAAGAAGTGTGTGTGCGTGTCATAATCGCTATTGCTGTCTTCAGTATAATTATTTTTTTGTGGGCTTCTCATTTTGAGAAAGAAATTTCATGAGTTTCAGAAAGCTGCAAGACATGACGAGAGAATTTTTTAAAGTTCCTTCTTGGTAATGGCCGCATGTTAGAAATTACTGGATCAGAAGGGAGTGAAAAATATCGGTATTGCTATTAACTCTCGAGGTTTTTGTGAAATGTGTCTCGATATTTGCTTTAAAGTCTATATTAAGAACTTGTTGTGCCTCTTCACTCAACTGTCCAATACGTGATAAATCATGATGTGATATTATATCAGGACTATGAATTAAAATTTTATGAACGTTTGGAAAAGTTGGATATCAGCCATAAAGGCGTACAAACATTTTTGATTTGGACGTCCCATCTTTTTAATAACTGAAAACTTTTCGCAATTGTTTTTTTTTTCATAACCATCTAGCCATATCGAATTACTTCTAAGAAACCTATTTTCTAATCGGTTGCCTATATTCTACTTCCACTTAAAATTTGAAGATAAAAAAAAGGACAACCTATGAGACAGTTCTGGTAATTTATTTTTGGGACAGTTTGCATGTTCATATTAACATTCATCTGTTGCATTATTCATTTGTATGAATGTCAACACTTACTGATCCTCTTCCAAATGATAATGTTTCTTTACCTATGTAGCTTTTCGCTGCTTAGAAATAATTCAGTCTTTACTAAGATGCCAAAGCTTGATTTACCTATAATCTTTTTTTACGAATTTAAACTCGACCGGAATGGGCAGACTTCCAGAAACATTAATTAAGTCTGGGGCGAGGGCAGCATTAATGAGTGCACTGTTCGACGGTGGTTCAAAAAATTTTAGGAGGGGGACTTCAGCCTTGAAGACAAAGAAGGTCGTGGAAGGACTTCCTCACTTGATGACGATGTTCTAGAACAAATATTCGAGAACCTGCAGGGAAACTTAACCTTAGCAAATCGACCGTCGATGACCCCCTCAAGGCGATTGGAAAGGTAAAGAAGCTTGAAAGATGGGTTTCACACACATTAAACGACCGCCAAAAAAACAGCGTTATGAAGTTTGTGCCATACTTCTTTGCCGAAACAAAAACTACCCTTTTCTGTCTAGAATTGTTACTTGTGATGAAAAGTGGGTACTTTACGATAACAGTAGACGTTCTGGATAGTGGATAAACAAAGGAGAAGCAGCAGAACATTGTCGAAAGCCCATAACTCATAAAAAAAAATGTGATGGTCACTGGTGGGCTTCATTTGATGGTTTGATATAGTATAGCTTCTTAAATCATGGAGAAACCATCAATGACGAATCGTATTGTAACAAAATTAATGCAATGCATTAAAAATTGGCAATAATGAAGCGATCTTTATTGGATGGAGCCAATTTGTTGCATGACAAGGCCTTGCCACATGTATCACGCGTGACATCATAAATACTGTTGGAGCTTGGATATGAAAATCTGCCACATCCTCCCTACTCTCCGGACCTCTCCCCTAAGGATTATCATTTTTATTAGACATATGGGCCACTACTTACAGGGAAAAAAATTTAAGAAAAAAGGAATTAGAAAATGCGTTTTGGGAGCTTATCAATTCTTAAGATTGGAAATTCTATTCCAAGGTAATGGAAAAGTTGGCAGAAATGTATTGATAGTATTGGAGACTATTTTGATTAAACAAAACAGTTGTAAATCTTTTTTTTTAAACCAAAAACCTTCCTTATTTTTGGAACAATCCAATTAGAATTTTACATTAGAAAATAATTAAACTACATTTTTTTTTTTATAAATATTTAAACGAATAAGTTAATTGTTCTGATTCATTCTTAATAATTCAGCAATAGTGGTAATGATTATAGAAAATTCCATAACAAACGGCAATTTACTAAAAGGTATGTCATGTATAACGTTATTGCAACCACAAACATGGAATGTATTTTTTTGACATGATGTACTGTATATATAAATAAGTAAATAAAAAAAAAAACTAAAAGGTGATAAAATATGTTAATAAAAAAAATCCGTGACAATAATTAAGTAAAATCACCAAGTTTTTTATATCATTTAATAACTATTTGTTTGAACTAGATGGCTGCTGTTGTGTTCTCTGAACATATCTGTCACCGTAGGAGAAATCTTTGGTGACGTGGAATCCTGCGGACCGGACGTCGTGTGTGAAGGCAAGACGCCAGAGAAGAACCCTGAGTACTTCAAGCCGACGATGTAAGATTCTGTAAGAAGCAGCGTACGTAGAGGAGGGAAGGATGGTCCGCTTCGAGCCCCACTTAGGAAGGGACCCAAAGCAGTGGATTAAAAAAAAAGAAAATTAAATGATAATTACAATACAGAAAAATTTCATCCATTATTTATTAATCAGTTAACTTTTTTTTTTGTAGTAATTTTCTCTTTGTGTATTAATGTAATTAATCATTTTAATGCTATTGATGCTCTAGATATACCACACAAGCTCAATTTTATTTTTATGCAAATTTGTGTACGAAAGTGCTCAAGTATAAATTACTAAACTATATATTATACTGCATTATGGATCCATTTTCAGTGAATTTCATGGAGAAGTGGCGAGCCATGATTTCAAAACTCAAAACCTTGTTACAATTATAGTAAATGAGGCTTCAGTAGTCGATGGATCGAAACGGGATATGTTGTTCTTTAAACTATACTACACTGAACTAATTCTTTAGAACTATACTGGGTGAGAGGGGAATGCTTTAAAGCCCTAAAATGTACCGTTTTCAAGATAACGCAAGGATCCGACCCTTATACTAGCTATAGTGAATCTTTATGCCATATTCCATAATTTTGAAAAATAATCACATACTTCCAAAATTTCAGAAAATAAAACTTTATTTAATCATAACTCAAGTAATATGTAATTTATGGTGGATTCAAACCATGATTATTTTAAAGGTCACCGTTTCCATTAATACCCAACAGGTAATTATCCGAAAGCGTTCCGTTATCTTGGCCTGTTAGCAAACCACAAGAATCAGGGGTTCTAAAGCGTAAGGCCAGCGCAATGGTTTTCCAGTCAGGTAGTTGAGGTTGGAATTTTATTTCATGGCGGGCCCTTCAATCTATGAATATATATTAATTAACCTATAGGGTAAGCCGTTTTAGCATACATATGAACGTTGAAAACAATAAATAAACTTATGCTTGTTCGTAATCTGGTATCAAAGTGAGACATTCATTTAGCCAAAGTGAATTAATTAATACAAAGTAATACTTTGTTACTTATTTTATATTATATAATACATTATAATACAAGGTATGCCTTAACAGGATACTATATCACATAAAAACACATTGCAGGAGCAATCTGCATAGATGTTACTGTGATGAGGAATGCGTGAAGTACGGAGATTGCTGCAAGGATAGAGCACCATTCCCATATAGCCCTGTCGAAAACATCACATGGTCCTGCGTAGCTAATTCTTACAACCAAGTAAAACCAATTTAAAAAATGAAATAAAGAGAATCTTGTATAATTTTTTTTTCTTTATATGGTAATATACTGACAATTTTAATCTTACAGACCTTTTACGCTGTTTCTAATTGTATGATAAAAGAACCATGGAACAGACTGTGCCAAAAAGAAGTTTATGTTTCACACATGGAATATGTTTCGGATCTTCCAGTTTTCTCAAACTACACCGGCTTATACTATGCAAACGTTTTCTGCGCTTACTGTGATCCACGGTTGTGGCTAGAGTACGGACATGTGCTGGCAAACTACTTCACAAAGCCTGAGCTCCTCACTGAGTGCACTCCGAATATCAATATAAACACGGTATTACACTGTTGATTGAATGACATAGTAATCCCACGAATATCATTTTATAGAATATTATTGTTCAGTTAATGGCGGAGGGCCAATACATACCTCGGAGACTCAGCTGGAAGGTGAGAGATGGCTACTGTGGTATTTTCCAAAAAGAGGAAATCGAACGTGGAAGACCGTGTATCCCATCTATATCCAGCTGCCCCGTCGGCACCGAAAAGTCCCTGTCTGATAAATGTGCAGCATATTCTCAGTTATTATCAATAAATGATACTGTACGTAAACGAATCATTTTATTTATTTTATTATTTATTTTTTTTTGTGACTAAAAGAAATTAATTTTTACAGGTATTCCGGAACCCTCATTGCGCTATCTGCAACGGCGTAGACCAGTCTCATTCTCTCTGCAAGTACAAAAAACCTACAATCAAGTGGCGTGGAATAACTGATATTTTTAGTTTGAATTGGTTTGTAGACAGTTGTCAGGAAAAAATGCATCTTCGTGATAATTTGCATCAGGAGTGCAAAGCCGTCAATTGCGATCTGGTATCTGGCAAATGTCATATCAATGAATGCGATGATACATGCCACCCCAAAGGCTATATACACATGAGCGGATATTTAATGTACGCCTGCCTCTCGGCCTCCATTATCTGCCTCTTGATCCACGTGTACAGGGCCATCTTCATATGCCCTCCTAGGAACTTGCCTTCCAGGATCCTGAATTCCCTAGCCTGGTCAATGCTCATCGCACAAACCCTCTTCCTCACAAGCATGTACTCCTTAGCGAGATTACCGCATCATGTTAATCTATGTTATATAACTGCTGTGACTATACAATATTTCTTTTTAGCTTCTTTCATGTGGATGAGTGTGATCAGCTTCGATATTTGGTTCACTTTCTCCAATACTTTCCAGCTAATCTCCACTAGTTACACAAAGTACGCAATATATGCGTGGGGTGGCACCGCTATAATGACTACCTTCTCAGTTATCATCGACCTGACTGATTTCTTCCCATCCGATTTCCGCCCCGAGTTCGGTCCGGTAAACAATATTTGCTGGTTAGGAAGTTACAACGGGCTTGCCTACTACTCTTTACTTCCTATTGGCACTGTCCTCTTCCTCAATACTGTATTCTTCATCATGACAATTTGTTTGTTACTTAAGCAGCAAAGTTGTGTCCTAGCTATCTCGGGAAGAAAAGAATATAGTTTATTGTTATTGTATATAAAAATTTCTACAGTTATTGGTATGACTTGGGTGGTCACATTATCAATACTGACATTCAAGGTGAAGCCTCAATTTCAATGTGCGTTAAGTATCTTAAACGGTCTGCAGGGAGTATTTATATTTGTCATGTTTGACATAAAAACTGATTGTATCTTCGCTCACATAAAATGTTTGTTACTTAGACTTTTCGGAAATAGATGAGGAACTGGTAGGAATTAAAGGAGGCTAACGGACTTATTGTTGTGAAAAGATGGACTGCCGGGTTCCAAAAACATGTAAGAGAAAAAACTAAAATTATTCAAAAGGCTAAATAAATTACATGTTATGTTTCATAGATTAGCTTTTCCATTAAATTTTTACTATATACCCAAATTTTTACTATATACAAATATGTATTGATTTAAATGACCTTTTTGGTCTATATATCTGATTATGCGTAAGATAAATCACAAAGCCAGACTTGCTAAAAAAAATTTAATTAGACTTTTGTTTACAATAGATCATAAAGAGTTTTACTTTATCCACTGACTGTATGTAATGAAACACGATGCAATAAAGTGACTTTATAAACTTTGACATTTTTCTTTTTTCCTTATTTTTCTTATATAAATCAACGCTTTTATTATTCAAATCGTGTGCTTCTTAGGTCTCTCGTCCTATGGAAGCTACAAAAAGCAACATTCGACCACAAACGATTAACTTGCATATACTACTTAAGTTTTATTAGTAGCGCTAAAACAAGAGGGTGGGGAATTTAAAATCTCCTATGGCACCAGGACGCGAACTCGTACTTTTCTTCAGTTTCAAATGTTGATTATCTGGTTGCCGGGCAACTCGCGGTGCTGTGCACACACGTTAGCCCATTCGGCCACCCCGCCCCCTAAATCAAGCTACTGCATCAAGAGGTATTTAGCCATATAAGTGTATATAGCACAGGCGGATCTACGAGGCGAGAAGGGAAGGAGAGTTCTCAGGCTCCTCCCCTCACCTCACCTCCCCAAAATGGTAAAATATAAACATGTTTTATAGAAAAAATATTAAAAACTGTCTCTTAAATTATTATTGTTCGTGTAATTACGATTAATAGGACTTCAAGAATCACTTAAACATAGTGTTGCCCGAAATTTGTCTTGGTCTTGCACTTTGCAACTGTTGGCCGGCTAACTGTTGCAAGACCAAGACCAAGACTGGAAAAAAATCGATTTTTGTATAACCATTAAGGTAAAATAGTTACTGATACTTGACAATCTTAGTTACGATATGTAAATAATTGGTATAACCAATATACCTTTGCATTTAACTCTTCCAAATTTTCATTTGGGCTTAGTTAGGTTTCCCCTACCTGAAAAATTACAGTAATATTTCTATAGTAATAAGCTAATAGATAACTGCAAGACACTTGCGAGACTCTTACGCAAGACCAAGACCAAGATCAAGACTCGTTTTGACCTCGCATTTGGGCAACACTACTTAAACAACATGTCATATAGGTATTTAGTTTATTTCTGTTTTTTTTTTCAAATTAATTATCGTTATAAATATTATAAATATAAATATAAAAACATTTCGGGCTGAAGCTCCCCTCAAAATTAAATCCTGAATTCGCTAGTAGCACATAGCATTATTCGAGTTGTCGCACTAAATCGCAAAAGATTCAATACTATTTGGTGTTTCAAAAATGTAACAAGACAATAGAGTCTTGTGATAAAATAAAAAAATCTGGACCGGTGTGCGCATCACACAACTTTCATTTACACCCTCCTTTTAGCAAGAATATATTTTCAATATCAAAACAACATTAATTACTGTTTCGTGGAAAACAGAAAAGAGTATGGAAAACGCGTGGAAGTACAACAAAAAGTTGTATACAAAAAATATTTATATATCGCGATAGTAAGTAACTTTAACTTTAACTGGCTGTTATCTTTAATTTTAGTTCTAAACTGTAGTAAATATTCAGATGAGGATTACTCATAAAATAAATAATTGGGTATGATAGTATGAGCGAGCTTCAATTATAAGCAACTCCAATAGGCTGTTAATGCTCCCATCAGAAACATGATATCTCAAATTCTGTCCTGCGACCCGTATTCGTCCAAAAAATCTGTTTCAAGCATGAAAGATCTGTCTACTCAATCACAATACCGCATAAGAGTGGACGGTAAAAAAAAAAAAAAATTGATTTTTGGTCAGTTTTCAGATCATATACCCATCCCACTCTGCATCGGCGAAAAAATTGTACATAACATATCGAAGTTATTTTTCATTATGCTTGTATGACATCAGTTTTTTTTATGGTGGTTCGCTTTTCTATTGGTCAGAAATAAATTATTCGAAAATTTTTTAACGTTTCGAGGAAAACGTCATCCTCTTCATGAGCATATATTAATCACCCAAAAATTTGAGATAGTCACAAAATTTCTATTCAACAGAATTAGTCAATAACTTAACTAAGTGCCACTTATTTAGCAATCCAATTCCTTGGGTGAGCGATGAGCGATGAGCGATGAGGAGGACGAAGTTTTCCTCGAAACGTTCAAATAAATTTGCAATCAAATACTAATTTTTGATTAATTTATTCTGACAAATTTTCAAATGAACCTCTATATCAAGATTAGGTTATGAAAAACTTGTAACTCTTTTTTGGTAACTTTTACTGAATAAACCAATATATGTTATAAAAGTATGTAAAAAGTTATACATATTTAATTCCTATTCTTTTTGCTTTTCTGCCTGTACGAGGTAAGGAAAGTATTGTGATCGGGTCAAATTTCCGATATGCGATTTCAGACGGATCTATACGTTTCAGAGCCCTCTGAGTTAGCACTTAATAATCCTGGTGTCAGAAAGGGATGAATGAGAGATAAAATATGACTAAGTGAACGTAAGAAAATATGTTGCCCGCATCACACAAGCTTCACTATTTCCTCTACTTTTAGAGGACAGAAAGAAAGAAATCATTGTTTGAGAATTCTAAGCTATGGTAAAAAAATTTTGATATTAGAGATTAGCAATATTAGAGAGTATTGAAATTTTTACACTGATCTACCTTAAGCCGGTTTTTTTTTTTTTTTTTTTTTTTATTCTTCATGAACATATGTGAAGATATAAAAACTTTTCTGAAATAGGTAGGAAAGTCGTGCGAGTGGACACACCAGATATTTGTTACATGGAACAAGCAACAGCAATCAATTATTTAAAGATATCTATAAAATATTTTTATGGCTTTCATTTCCAACAATCGATATGTTATTTTATTTATAGCGGAAAATATTTAATAGGCAACAGAAATTTCATTGTCCACCTAAAACAGGACGTCCTTCAAATCTCTAATAAAAAATTAAATTTATTGTATATTTAGTTTTCTAAAATATTCAACAAACAACTAAAGAAGCTATTGGAAGGGAAGCAGAGGTGGGGGAAGAGGAAGGGGAGGTGCAGAGTGCAAAGAGGAGGGTAAGGGTGCACTGGGGAGGCGGTGCAGGAGGGGGCGGTGCACCGGGAGGGATGCAGTCGGCGGGGAGCGAGGGAGGGACAGGATGCCAGCTGGGGGCAGGAGCTTCGGCCGGCCAGGAGCAGGAGCTACTGCGGGGGTGGTTAGCGAGGCAACCCTTCGCTCAGGGGTGGTTTGGCTATAACCGACGCTCGTCTTTCAATTGTCACAGTACCATCAGTCAAGTACTTATTTTTATAAATTCCTATTTATTTATTATTTCTATGTATTTATACTTATAAATTCCTTACTGGGCATGAGAGTTTCCGCTCTAAGTTACGTAGTTTTGGAAAAGTCAGAGATCTCCTATGCCCCACTTGCGGAGTGCCGGAGACGGCTGAGCACGTCATTGTCAACTGCACCGCCTTTGATGGACTAAGGGCCGAAAAATTGGAGTTAGTGGCGGAGCAGAACTAACCGTATTACAAAGATTTTGTGTACGGGTGGAAAACTGCTGCGGGGCCATCCCACTTTAATCTGGGAAGAAGAGGACCTGCTAATGGAAGGCCGCCAGGTTAATATGGTGAAAATAATGAAAAAAAAGAAGAGATTTGAAAAAAAAAATTGACAATTAACTTTTGGTTTAATAGTAGGAATGGCTTGCACTGTTTAAAAGTGTGATATGCCATCTCTGCAAAATCCCGTGTAGCCGAAAGCCAAGGAAGGGAGGAATAAATAAATAAAGTACTTATGTTTAATATTTTAATCGTATTGAATATTTAATAGTTGACCGTTGCATTATAAAGGAAGGAGATGGTCCGGGGTAGCGGTCATAAATAGGCTAAATAGTGATAAAACTATTTTATTAAAAGCCAACGTTTCGACCCGACTTTGCAGGTCTTCTTCAGGAAGGTGTGTTCAGCTAGGAGTTTCACTTAGAACTGAACACACCTCCCACAAGAAGACCTGCAAAGCCGGGTCGAAACGTTGGCTTTTAATAAAATAGTTTTACCACTATTTAGCATATTTATGAACGCCACCCCGGACCATCTCCTTCCTTTTTAATATGTTTAATATTTTACTCTAAATATCCTGCGGATCAGAAGGGAAGAAGTGGTACTGACCCGGCTAAGGATCGGACGTACTGGGTTTACTCACGGGCACGGGCGGATCTACGGGGGGAGGGCTTTCGGGCTGAAGCCCCCCCCCCCCCAAAATGGTAAAATGTAATCATATTTTACAGAAAAAAATACTTTATACTATCTCTTAAAGTATTCTTGTTGGTGTAATTACGTTTAATAGGACTTCAAGAACCACTTAAACACCATTTCATATAGATAATTAATTAATTTATTTTTTTCAAATTAATTATCGTTATATATATATATATATATATATATATATATATATGAAAAAAAAAAAACTGTCGGGCTGAAGCCCCCCCAAAACTAAATCCTGGATCCGCTAGTGCTCTAGTGTATTTAATGAGGAAAGACACTCCTACTCAATGTATTGCCTGCGGGGTACCTCTCACAGTGAGCCATATCCTAACCGAATGTTATGCATTCCAATCTCTTAGGGATCAACATTTTTTCAGAAATAGCCTTGAAGAATAACTCCAAAAGGACCCCAATGCTATTAAAAACTTAATATTGTTCCTTGAGGAAATCAAAATATTTCACAAAATTGTAATCACATCTAAAAATGTATACAAAATTTAATCACATCTTGTAATTTTAAATATAGGTACCTGATAAGTTTTTTTTTTTTTTTTTTTTTTTTTTTTGTAGGTTCCTCTTCAAATTGTAAATATACCTATTCATTTTTCTTCTTTTAATTATAATGGTTTTTCAATTTTTCTTCTTGTAATTTTTAATATTTAAATTGTACTTTTTAATTTCTCTTCTTTTAACATTAATTTTATTTTTTAAACTGTATTTTTAGATTATATTCTTGAAATCATTAACTTTTCATTTAAATGTTTTTGTTAACCTATCTTTTTCTAATCTTTAATATTTAATTTGAATGGTTTTTGTCAACTTTTCTTCTTGTACTTTTTAATATTTAAACTGTACTCTTTAACTTCTCTTCTATTAACATTAATTTTTATTTTTTAAAAACGTATTTTTATCTTCTGTTCTTAAATCATTAACCTTTGTTTTAATTGTCTATGTTAACTTATCTCCTTTTAATCTTTAACTTTTAATTGTACTTTCATATTCACCTGTAACTATTTTTAATTTTCTAAACATTAAATTGTATTTTTAGCTGTAGATTTGTTGTGTATGCCTATGTAGTAGTTGATCCAATCGTACCATAGAGCGAAAATGACCCAGGTGGTCGAAATGCCCAAAACATTTATAAATAAATAAAAAATAATATTTTTGACGTTGTTTCAATAATTATATAGCTTTTATCATATAATTTAAACTGATATAAGTTAATAAATATGTTATTGAATTTGAAGAGAAGAATCATTCTTCTCTTCATTATCCACGACAGTCAACCAATTACCAATTATGTTATTGAATTTGTTTTAACTAGTATAATCCAGCGAGAAATATCACAGTAGATAATTATCCTTCTCCATAATGTATTCAACGCATAAACATCAGCGAATCATGTTTATTCGTATATATAATACAACATAACAAAAGAAAGAGTACGAAAAAATAGTGGTCCGTGTAGAATGAAATTCCACTGACTTAATAAACTAAGAAATAGTATAAAAAGAACAAAACATTGATTTATTGGTCTTATTACATATGTAATTTTCCATGATGTAAACGGAAATTCGTGAGTGATTCGGTAGTAGTCGTGGAAACCGTTTACATTTATAACTTCTTCTTCTTTTGCTTCACCCTGTTGTACCTTTCAGCCTAGGGGAGCGTCTAGCCAGGATTGCCAACTTCCCTGTTTCTTGCAAGATTTCTGACTTGGCGTATATTTTTATTTCTATTTTTGCACAGGCGGTCTACGTATTCGAGGTACGACATTCTCGGTCTGCCGCGTGGTCTTCTGCCATTGGGGACGTAGTCCATAGACTTTAAGGATCTCTGTGTTCTTCCATCCTGATGACATGCCCAAACCACTTAAGCTGCCGAGTCTTTAGGACATCCTTCATCGGGGGAATCCCCAATTCCTCCCTGATTCTCTCGTTGCGAATGCAGTCCCGTCTCGTTTGCCCTGCGATCCTTCGGAGAAACCTCATTTCTGCAGCAGTGATTTTCCTCTCAAGTTTGTCAGTCAGCACCCAGCTTTCTGCGCCATACAGGAGTATAGGCAAGTATACTGCCTTAAATATGTGCAGTTTTACACCTCTGCTCACTTCCCCCTTTCCGATCACAGTATTGCAGATCTGGTAATATGCAGCGTTTGCTTTGCTTATCCTGTGCAGAATTTCTGAATCCACTTTCCCAGACCGATCCATGACAGAACCAAGGTAGGTGAAATCTGACACTTCTTCCATCACCTCTCTGTTGCAATACACTGTAACATCTTCCTGCACCCTTCCAACCTGTAGGATCTTGCTCTTTCCTGTACTGATGACCATACCCTCCCTGAGGAGCTCCTCTTTCTATTCGTCAACTGCCTGCTGTAATTTCTTCACAGAATCAGCAATCAGGACAATATCGTCCGCATATAGAAGAAACTGAAATACAACTGGAAGCAGATTCCTTCGCCCCAGAAACGTCCTTTCTGTTCGTCTTTTGCAGATTGCAGCAATTTCATCCATATATAATATAAATAGCAACGGGCTTAAACTATCACGTTGTTTGACCTCCTTAGCTATACTAAAATAGCCAGATTCCTGTCCTTCAGTCTGACTATTCCTTTTGGATTTTGGTATATGGATTTAATGGCCTCAACCAAGCTTCTAGGAACATTTTTTACTCCTAGTGTTTCTCATATTTCGTTTCTTGGGACTGAATCAAATGCTGCTTGAAGGTCAAGGAAAGGTAAGTACAGACATTTATAACTTTAAATTTATTATTACTCGGTTTTTATTCGAATAATTATTTATTTGACTAAATTTTTATTCGTATAATTTTTCATCCGATTGAAATTTGAGTTGTAATAATCCGTGGTTCAGATCCCTTTTTATCAAATTATTAACCTGCGCCTGAAACTTCGTAAATAGCTACAACTAATCGTAACCTACAAATATTTTATTTACGCAAATTCTTGGAACTTGGACATTTTCAATCTGGAGATCTGCAAACATTGTCTATTTAATTACGTACTAAGAACTCGTACCGCAAAAATCAAGGAATCAAAATAAAGCACTGACACAAATTTCCTTCAAAATCATATCACTAATATACAACGCGAGCAACAATTACTTTTTCCAGTGGGTGCCGGAACACTTAGGAATATCAGAAAATGAAATGGCAGACAAAAAGGCAAATCAATACCAACTACATCGAATAAATGCTAAGGTTCCTTTACTGGATTTGATAGGAGTAGTGAGAGGGAAAATAATATAATAATAGCTATAATGGGTATAGCTAACAGTGGCCACTGCCCAACATGCCAATGCTTGGAGGATCCAAGACACATTGCCTTGAAGTGCAAAAGATCCGAAAAGCGAAGAAGAATTAGTTTAAAATCCCAAATTATGGACGATGGAGCTACTAACTTTCTTCGGTCGATGTATAAAGGTAACTCCCGTGACTTGATAAAGTTTTTGAATGACGTAAAAGCAGTTATATAATAAAAGTCGCCTCTTATTCTCATTTAATTGTTATGAAACTACTGTCACCTCAGATTTTAATCATTAGTCTTTCTAGTTCTATATAAGTTACATACAATATTTAGTTACATTCAGTGATCATCTATCTAGAAATAATTAATAAATATCTAGTGTAATTTCATCTTACAATGACAATTAAAATATTTTATTGGCAAAATAGGACTTGCTTTTACAAATCTTAAAGCCAAAAAAGAACAAAAAGATTAGAAAAGGAAAGAAAGCCTCGCAAATATCCATTTTTTTTTTTCACTTGAGTCGTAAGATAATTTGAGCACAAGATCGAGAAAAAAAGTGGCCTTCAAAAATATTGAGCCATTAGTGACCTACACTCCCTCAAAATAACGATATTATATTGGCCAAACGGTCCTGTATTTTTGTAGACCACCTTTTTTCGATTGTTTGATCAAATTATCTTACGATCCAAGTGGAAAGCAAATGTGTATTTTCGAGTT